ATCTATATATATATTCCCTATAAAAACAGCATGAGAGCCGTGTACACAATTTGAGATCAGTTCAAGGAAACCTGTATTGAGGACATTTTGACAACTGCCATTGCTGACCTTCTTCTGATAATACTAATTGCCCAGCTGTCATGGGCTTTAAAATTTTCTATGACACTAACAGACAACAAGTCTGCAGATCAATAAAGTCAGTCAAGTCAAGGCTACTAATTTGCATAGTTATTCCAGGTCAGCGAGTCAGAAAGTATTGAAGCTTGACTGCCACAGTTCCAGTATTTTCAGAAGGGAAGGTTAACAATGGCAACCTGCATACTTCTAAGATACATGCTTTCAGTTTAAGATCAATTCATGTTTTGCTTTTCTTCCTCCAGATCAGTTAATCATAATGCATGGTACACACATCCATGTTTGCTAGTTACATCATAGCAATTTATTCAAGGTAGATGCTATACATCACTTTTCATTTGTTTGTTTGTTTTTTTATCAACTTTTAAATAATGACTTTATATAAAATATGATACTTGACTGGATCCAGAAACTGTGTCATTTATTAAACACAGAAAAAGTAAGAACATACCTCAGTAATGCGCACTGTGTACGGCTGTCCATGGAAGGTGGGGGCATTGTCATTGACATCACCAACTTGGATATTAGCTTTCATTTTTGTGACCTGAAGATTAATAAGACAAGACATCTCAGTGATTCAACCACAATTTACCACAATGTACTCAGATAAGTTGATGCAACATTTTATTACTTTAAGTGTACAGTATATCTAAATCCATCTTTGTTGTTTGTATGGTATACAATAGAGAAGGATTAAACCCCTGCCATTTTTCTTTTTCAGGCAATGTACCAATGGGGAAATGTCCCTTCATTTCCTCACCTAGAGACACAACAGGAAGTTAAAGGAAGTCTCCCAGGGTGAGGAGGCACCTCTAAATGTTTGGATTTACCCTCACTTTCTTTCTTGGTGACAATCTCCTCAAATGGGACACATACAACAGGTCTAAGCCTTCCCTATTCTATCTAAATAAATAAAAAAAATCTGACTAGTGCTATTCCTGTCAAGGTTATTTTTGTTTGCTGTCTGTCTACTATTGGAGAACTTACCCTTCATTTCTTTTCTTGTAAATGCAACGGGAAGAGAAAATGTCTCTAATGTGAGGAAAATGCCCTTTTAGACAGTTGCCACAAGAACCAGTGCCCATATTGAAAGATCTCCCCTTTATTGTTGTACCGGTGTCAACTGAAAATGTTGGCATTTTCTATAACTTCAGTCCTAATGATAGTGGTCACCAGGAAAAAATAGAAAGGATGAATCTCCTCAGTGGGAACACAGACATTTTGAACTAGCAATATGTACAGTGGTTTCTGAACCACAAAACAATGGTGAAGATAGAGACACAGCAATGCATGTAGACTGTCCATGTATTATGCAATTTAATGATTTTATCCAAGAACAGATATGCTCATGAAAATCTAATATGCAAATAGTAACTTCAGTTTCCAAAGTTATGGTAATTTCCACACAAAAACTATTAGACTGTTGGGACATCCTAAAGCAGTCCATAAGTGGAGTGGGCAACATGGCAACAAAGGATATCAAGGGAAAACAACAGAAAAACTGGGAACTTATTTCAGTTTAAAAACACCCAACACCAGAAGTTGGCATCAGATGTGGCCTAAATATTCACCTGGCAAAATTGTAAAATGAGAACATGCAAACTGGGAAAAGTTGCTTGATGCTGAAAGGACAAAGAAGCATTCACAGATCTAATAGCGTGCACCTTGAGGAAAGGGTAGAAGTCAATCCTTAAGACCATAAATTTGGATGATGTTCTGTCATAGTTGCCAAGAGATGGTAGAGTGAGAAGTCGGTGTACTCTTACAGGGTCCATTTGGGATTATAAAGCAAATCAGTCCTCTGATGAAAAGGGGCTGGGAGACTCTTACAGCTCAAAATATGTCCAGAAAATGGAGAGAATTTTCCTTTTGGTGAACTGAAATCAGATATTGCGAGGGAAAACAATACCTTGGTTTAGGTGAAAGGAAGAACTACCTTAGGTAAGTAGAAAGTCCTGGGCCTCAACACGAGCTTGTCCCTGAGCCAAACTAAAAGAAGGTTTTGCAGCTAAGGCCACCAGTTCAGAAGCTTGATTTGCACAGGTGTTAGCTACAAGAAACACCACTTTGTGGGTGAGAGACAAGAACTGAAATGTCTCTAAGGGGTTCAAATGGCAATCTGTGAAGGACAGAGCGGGCCAGATTCAGATCCCATGGAGTCCCAGAGGAACAGCTGGGGGAGCTTCCTGTACAAATGTCTAAATTAAAAAAGAAAGGCCAAAGTTCTCTAAAACAAGATAGACAAGGTGGAAACCTGTGTAAAAAAGTACTAAGAGTCAAACACTAAACCAAACCCAGCTGTAGAAATGAGAGGGTTTATCCCACAGATAAACTTCTATGGGGGAACTTACAGAAGTAGTAGTCCTAAAGTAGTATCATAGGAATCACAGATTCAGAGATGCCTCATCTCACAAACTCTGATCTTCAACAGCCATAGCTTTAAAGAAGAACTCCAGGAAATGTTTTTTATTAACCCTTGCACTGGGGCTACCCCCGCACTGCAAGGGTTAAGTGCTAATTTTTGTGTAGGTTAAAAAAGTAATAATCAGTCGAAGCTCCAAGCCAGCTTCTTCTTAGACCGGTCCTTCCTGTGTCTCTCCGCCTAAGTCTATGGTCTCATAAATCATCACGTTCTATGCAGTGTACAGGCATGAGGGCGCTGAAGAAGATTCCAATGCTGAAGTGGAGGAGGAGACAGGCTGGAGGGAGTGATGTGACAGCTGGCCAGCTTGGAGCTTTGGATGAGTATATATTTGTAATTTTTGTCCTTAGATACAAATGAGCACTTAACGCTTTCAGGGCGTGGGTATCCCCACTGCAAGGGTTCAGAAAATGTTTTCATGGAGTTGTTTTTTAAAGAAAATAAAAAAAGGATGGCAATTAAGCAGAAAATCATGGAAGTGGAGATCTGTGGTCGGATCCAGTGCACTGTGATAAAATGTAGCATGTTGCATTTTATTGCAGCACAGTGCCCACTGCATTGTCGTGTGAATACAACACATAGAAAACAATTGTTTTCTATATGTCCTAACGGTGACCTGCATTGATCCGGTGTGGTACAGTGCAGGTCACCACTACATGTGCAAATGGGCCCTTAGTCATGGTTTAACAAGGTACAGTCACAATGAGGATGTAGTGTTTCTAAATTTTGCAATGAAGTCATCGAATGAAGGAAGGGGCAATTCCACTAAAAGAAGGATAGAGAAGATCGCCAGAACAAAGGAAAACAATTTCACTTTTTTCAGCGTAATAGAGGCAGACGTAAATCCATCCGAAAAATGTTTTCTTTAGAGATGGCAGAGAATTAATATCAGATAACAGATCCTTAGAGGGTTCCCCACTGAGCCAGCAAAGTCCTGTATGATTGTGTTGGATTTATCAGGGAAGGAGGGAAAAGGATGTTAGTGAGCAATGGTTCAGATGTGATCCATAAAGAATCCCCTACACACAAGATGCAAGTGAGCCTAAGTACTGCAGGTCATTCGCACATATAGAACGACTCTCTTTTTGCTAGTCAGAGATTAAACAATTCCACCTGCCTACCTCGGATTTTCCTAAAAGCCACATGAGATAATGAGGAAGCAGTTGACCTGCATGGTAACTCCACACCTCCAGCCTGTGACATCACAGTGCATTAGACGATACAGTCTTAGATTTTTATGTACACAGACAACATTTATTCATTTGGAGCTGACATCTGATTGGTCCATTGTTGGACATGGTTTCCTGCAGTCTTACCCTTTTTTTTTTTAAAACACATTTAATCCTGTGAGTTCATACACATGTCTAATTCTAATTTTAGTTGGTGTGCTATAAGGGGTAATGGCACCATTTATAGATATGTTCAGCACTGGTTTACACCGACTTTTAATTACAGTTCAAGTGTCAATGGTCCTATTAATAGGCCAAATAATGATGAGAACACAGCAGAGACTTTCAGGACACTGTGCCTCTATACAGCATTAGGCTGGCCCTGCCTACACAGCACAGCAAGTTACATTGATCAACCACTGATCCGTAGCGGGAAGATCCCCTTAATAGCGTGTTCGTGCTCCTGTGTGTTCACATGAGCCGCCATGCGTGCAAGTGCACTCCCCCACCTGTGATAAAATCCTTATAGGAAAGCTATACACCATTTACTAATTGATGGAGTTAAACTGGTCACATTGCTGGCAATAATTGCATATTACATTAGCAGCACTAAATTACTTTTCAATATATTTAGCTAAAGAAATTCAGGTGTTAAAAAAAAGAAAGACAAAAAATGTCTGCAATTCAGCCATTATCCAGATCACATTAACATATGAATTTACAGTGAAAGGACAGCTGAATAAAGTTCTAAGAAAGGACATTTCCTGCGCAACCTTCCATTTAATTGGTGATCTGTCTCCAGTGTCTTCCGACAGAGATCACTGTGAACAGATCCTTATAAATCAATCTTTTCTCCACTTCTACCAACACATATTTCTTTTTTCTTGTCCTGATTTACCATTCCTAAATTTTTAAGCGATCAAATGAAAAAGTCATACATACCCCCTCGGTGTCACTGACAGAAAATTCAACGGTAAACTCTGATTTAGTCTGCAATGAAAAGACAAAATAATATGATTAGAAAGAGTGTTTATCTTCTGACACCAGCAATTTGTTTTTTTTAGCTAAAAGCATAATGACATGCAAAATACTTCTGGGAGGGGGGAAAGGTGGAACGCAGTATAATTGCAGATGGGGCTCCAAAAAATGGCATTGTGTGATTATCATGTTTGAACAATCAGTGTTTTATGCCTTAAGAATGTTCTCTTATTGTATCAATATATAAAACATACAGTACATAAAAAGAATAGGCCAACACCACACAAAAAAGCTGACAGGTTATTATAAAAACTCTCCACAAAAAATTATCCACAAAAATGGAGTACTTGCCCTCATCAACCAATCAGATTGATTGTTGTTCTCCAGAAAAGGGAAGCAATGAAACTGATTGTTGTATAGACACTATCCATACTTTTATTTATTTTTTAATAAATAGGTCCAATCCATTTAGTAATTCACACACGAGTAAGATCTTTTATAACATTATATATAAACGCTTCTGAAAATGGACATACAATAAATAGACATCTCTAACTGTGTTTCATAGAGTATACAACACTTCTATTCTTTATAGATACAATAGAAAGATCATTTTATTGTTTGATCTTAAACTTTGTAGGATCTGCAACTGAAAATTGCTGCTGTCTGTAACTCACCTCACTCATTGTAAGTGACAGAAAATGTACCTTGCTGCATAGGTTGAAGAGACCAGTAATATTCTCCAAGGATTATGCAGTGCTGCAAATGTTTCTAACAGCTTGTGTATACAAGTCAATGGGAATTCAAAAGCAGGTCAACCAGTATAGAATGAGGTTAGAAACAGCTCCAAAGGATCCCAGAAGCATCTCAAACATTTTTTATGCAACTGAAAGTATGCTGCACACTTGGCCATCTACTCAAGCCCTACCATATATCATAAGTTTAGTTGCAGGTCAATAGGAAAAATTCAAAGTTTACACAAGTAATAGGGCCATTACAAATGCTGCCTCCAAGGGCGCCACAAGTGCTGGGCACCCAGGGCATGTTTTGCGGCGTACCCTGGGTCTTGAGGTAATGACCGCCTGACAGCTGTATTGATGCTGCAGTGCCCGTGGCATCCTCCTGTCTGACAGCAGCAGTCAAAAGCTGAGGGAAGCCCCCCCTTGACTCCGGTCACATGTTGCAGCTGAGGGGAGGAATTGCTGCTGTGGGTGAGATGGGGGAGATCAGTACTAGACAGGGAGGCTTCTCTGCTGGGTACCAACAAGTCTGAATTGATGGGAAAGAAGGGGGTTTGTACTCTAGGGATAGCTAGGGATCTTTAAAGAAGGGGTAGGTTGGAAGGAGGTGTTCTCCACTAAAGAGATCTGTGCAGAGGAAGTGGGCTGTGAGGGGGTGGTCAGTACTGTGACTGTACTGTACTAGGGCTGTGGGGAGAAATCTGTACACCTCATTATCCCAAGTTGATCTTTGAAGCTTCCTTTGTCACATTTGGCTGCTCATTAGACCATAAAGCGATACTAAAGGATTTAAAAATGTCCACACAAGTAATTGAGTGACGGGTCACTACAATGATGTGAAAAGAAAACTGTTCCCTTATTTCATTTGCACATGATTGGATAACTGAAGTGAATATTCACACAATATATTGTGTGTACATTCTCAACTCCTTCAGTAAATCAGCCTTAATGAGTCAGTGTCAGTGTCCAGTTAGCAGGAAGGTGACCCAGAAATCAGTAGAACTGGAAGCAGTAGGATCTTCTTGTGTGGGAAGTGTGTTATGGGTGTGCAAATTTGCTAGAAAATCTCTGCAACCAATGATGGAGATTTGCACTGCATGCAAACCTAATTAGTTAGTTACTTTTGATATATGTTGGCGTGCTGAATCACACAGTGGCTTAATAGAACTCCAGAAATGTCAAGTAGTGAAAGCCTTCTAGATGGAATTTCTGCTGCCAATGTGTTTTGTGCATCTGGCTACACTCCATAATGTAAAATAAATGTTCAACTCCGCTAAAATGACTGTACACATTTGAAGCAAAATGGTCCAGAATGGTATAAAAAGCTAGTGGTTAAGTCAACCTCACAGCACCTACACATAACAAAAAAATTAATTCACTAACCGATTACCTCTAGTGATGATAGAATAGCTTTCATATGAGCAGGTCCAATGATGGCTGTACGTAATGAAGCAGCTAATGGAGGCTACATTCATGTGCAGTTATCAAAGACTAAACAAAGGTTGCTCATCCGCTTCTAAAATGTAAATGCTCATCATTGTCATCAACTAATTTCCTGCCCTGAAGGAAGTTGCTGGGTGATTAAGAGAAGCCTCATCTCCGGTGTCGCTATCATACAACAGCAGCAACCTGCAGAGAGATTGCTAGAAATCCATCTCAGGCCCCCAGGCACTGCCTGCAGTTATCTCCAGCAATACCAGACACTGTCTGCTGGGCTTCTATGTATAAAAACACCATAAACCACTTGATCCCACACTGCCTTTCTAAACAGCATTTTTGTGTATTTGTGCATTCCCCTTAGCTTCCCCTGTGATAAAACTGAGCATGAATGTATTTTACATGCCTGTGAAAGGGTAAGCTACATTACAGTAAAAAGGGGTTCTGCTCCCCAAAAGACACAGATTATTTGCTTATAAATCTTATATATTAGATTTAATTAAAGGCTAAGTTTACCTTTTTGACCATGTTTGATTTTACATTTCATATTTATGTTGGAACATGAACAGATCACATCCATGTCATTTGGCAGGATCTATGAATGAAGAAACTACCATCAAAGTACCATCAGCCACTATTGGCAGAAGGACTTGTAATTCCCATTGGCACTGATGCACTGCGCTTGTAGTTCATTCATTATTCTTCCTCCCGTCCATGTTACTGAATGCCTTTACCTCAAAAGGAATAGTCTGCAGGAAACAGAGTATTGCACCCATGATTTACTGATTCCGGCTGCAATGCTTGTGTGCATTTTTCCCCCCTTTAACCCCTTCGTGACGGGAGACGTACACTGTACGTCCAGCCACAAAGGGACCAAATGACTTGTCACGTACACTGTACGTGACGAGTTATTTAAAAGCCATACAGAACTGATATTCCGTAGATGTTTATGACACTGTGCTCCCAAGCTCCACCCACCCTTACTGCCAGTTTTTCTATTTATTTTATGCAAAGCGCAGCTAGAAAAAAAAAGATCTTTATTTTTTTTTAAACAAGCTTAGATTAAGAAAACAGAGTGGTCTGTTGCTTGTTTCCTCACTTTGAAAACATGTTTTTCCCATGTTGTGACCCATGTAACTTTAGAAGAAAGCTATTTATTATCTGTGCATCCATAGAAAAAAAACCCAAACACAAATACCAATTGGAGCAGAGTCATTAGCACAAAATGTAAACAAAGCAGAAGCTGATTGTAGTATGTGCAGAGTGTAGGGGGTGCTCTGCGGTGTGCCAGCTCCTACTATAAGCCACCATGCCCTGTCATCAGATAAATGAGAAGCAGATTAAGGTGCTTCAAACATAAATTAGCAGCGGAATACTACAGAGCATCATTGGAGTGACAGCTCTATGAGGAGAATTTATCAAAACTGGAGCAGACAAAATCTGGAGCAGCAGCGCATGACAACCAATTAGCTTCTATATATATTTTATTTTCAAAGCTTAACTGAACAAACTGAAGAGAGAAGCTGAATAGTTTCCATAGACAATTGCTCTAGATTCTGTCTGCTCCAGTTTTGATAAATTCCTCTCTATGTCTTTCTGGGAATGCTGATGTCACATCCAAGATAGCAGCAGCCAGCAGCAGTCTTAGGTCTGTTCAATATTACAATATCATTAGTAATTACAGGGAGAACAAATGCAAGGTTTAGAGAAGGTGGTGATCATTTATCTTCCAATCATAGAATGCCTTGCATTCTTGGAGAAATATACAAGGCATTTTGTGAATGGGCAAGTAACAAAGAGAGATGGGCTCAAGTCATAGTGCCTGGAGTTATGTGTAAAAGCCAGCATGCTGCAAGGTAAGGTTTTTATTATTTGGAAGAGCCCTCCATAGTCCATACATAACATACATCAGTTTAGTGATTAAATACAAACACCCAATGTGGTGTGTAAATTATGTTTTTTCCTGGAGTTTGGCTTTAAGCCTGCCTAGATTATACCACATGCCAAGTATATCCATCTTTACAGTTATGCAAGACAGTCACAGCAGTTTCAGTGTTTTTACAATTCATTTTTATTTCCTCTAAGCTATAACTTATAAGTTTAATGTAGTAAAGCATTACCTCTCGATCCAATGGTTGCCTCAGCCAGACCACACCACTCTCACTCTGTACGGCGAAAAACTTTTGGGCTTCATCACCTACAATCCCAAACACCAGGGCAGTTCCGTCAGGGTCACGGGCAAGCAGCTGTGTTATTGATGAGCCTGCAAGAGAATGTTGTGGGACATTCATTTTCTGATCAAAGGTAGAATTAACAGCACATTCATACTTGCACATTGAAGATAAGTGTGGTTTAGTTTACTATTGCACGTGCATTTTACATGAATATTTAGATGTACTAGAGTACACTACTATTGTGACATTTAATATGCTATACGGGCATTTTAGGTGCACTTTACATGCCAGGCCATGCAGTGTGACAGAGGCTTGTTAAACACAAACTTAGTATCGAAACATGATTAGAAATCCTCTGGCAGTTAACAGTAAATATATATGTATGTCAGCTATATATTTAACTGGTTGCCTGCCTGGAGCAGGCAACAATGCTCCGGGGCAGGGGTAGGCAAACTCTGGACATCCACATGTGGTGAAACTACAAATCCCATCATGCATCTGCCTCTGGGAATCATACCTGTAGCTGTCAGAGTCTTGCAATGCCTCATGGGATTTGTAGTTGCACCACAGCTTGAGGGTCCGGGTTTGTCTACCCCTGCTCTAGAGCATATAGCATATAGTCTGGCTGTATTATAGGCATTTATCTGGATAATTCCAGGTGTCTGGCATTGACTGTACCGCCCTCCCCCCTTGGTGGAGTGTGACTCTGCTGTCTTTTGGGAGAGCCAATGGGTGACACTGCGAGTGTATGTACAGTTCAGCAGCCATTCACTGGATTTCCCTCAACCAGTGTTGCATGCTGGGATAGGGTACATATGCTGGAGGGCATTGCCATGTGCTCAGTTTAGTTCTGGACCAGCCATGTATTTGTTCAGGGCTGGGTGCTGTCCAGCCACCCCCCAGTCTAGGCTTGAGACCTAAGGGTGGGCAGATGCTGGAGTATGGGAAAAGTTTCCCTGGGCCTCAATTGTGGAGAAGGCCTGTGCTGTTGTCAGAGGAAGAAAACCAGGAAAGTGAATGGCTGCTGAAGGTACCCAGAACATAGAGGACCTCAGGAGCAAGTCTGGTGTCTCTCCTGCTGAGGATCTGTGCTCATCCCCTGCTCATCTGTTACTCAAATTCCTTTTCAAGGAGCTACAAGTGGATATACACAATGAGATGCAAAAAAGGGTCTGGTGAGTCTGGAGTCTATTACTGGAGTGAATATCATCTTTGTGGGCACTAGAAGAGGGCGGTTAAATGCTAATGGGGTAGCTGAAGACCAAATCCCCAAGACAACTAGTGATGACCCAAGTTATTCTGGCGGCTTCTTCAGGGGCCAGATAACTGCAAGTCACAAAATAATAGCTTCTGGTGTAATCAATTCTCGGGTTTCAGAAGTGAAAAGGTACATTCTAAATATTGCTGGCACGTCAAGTTCATATGCTAATGGATTGATTGTTCTGTGGCCATTGAAATGGGCAATACATCTTGGAGATAAATCCTTACCAGGGCAACATAGTTTAATATTAGTGGTAGAGAGAAAAACTTTGTTTCTAGTCTCAAAAAAATATTCCATCACTTTTCCTGCAAAAATATAGCCAAGATGGATCTTGCACTCTCTAAATGGTTTCCCATAATTGTGTTGACTCTTAGAGAGGGTCAAGAAACAATGAAGATACTGTTCCAATCTTTCATTTGTTCCTTTAGTTTGTCTGCTCATTTGGGGGATGATGGGCATATGAGTGAGAGTCAGTTAATGTTAAACTTTTTACCCAATCTCTTCCTAAACTTAGACATAAATTGGACCCCTTTATTATATAAAAAAACGTTGCTAGGAAAACAAGGTAATTGGGCAATTTCCTTAACAATCACTGACAATCATAGAAGTAGATGGGACATCTTTTAGAGATATAAAATGGGCCACTTTCTAACAGATTGACAAAAACAGTATTAAAGTTCTGAGCGTGGGAACTTACCGAAAGAAAATCTACAGGGATCATTCTCCAAGGATCATGGGGAATAGCGAGGGGATGCAGCAACCCCAAAGTGTTTGACTGAACCTGAATACTGTAAGCATGCACAGAGCAGGAACTCACATATTCTTTACAATCTTTTGCTATGCTGGGCCACCAGAAAAATCTTTATACTAACTTAGTTGTTCTGTGGATTTAAGAAATATCTGTAAGTGGGTGGTTATTAATTAATTGGAAATTCTCATTCAAGGAGGCTTTTGATTTACACAACTTTCACTTTTTGAAACAGGAGTTTTTTGGGTTTAGATTACTAAGACGTTTTTATGTGACCCACTGATTCTGACCGCATAAGAATATTCTGGATAGCATCTGTTTTGATGTTCTTAGAATTGGGTCTTTAAGCAAAATAAATATCAAAACAAAAGTTCACATACTCCTATGTTGTACTTCATTTCTGCTGTGTTTAGTTTATGAGGAAAAACAGTTTGATGCTCTCCCATCCCTTTCTATTGGCCTTCTTGTAAAGTCAAGAAAACTATTTAAAGTCTTGCTTCGGTTTGGATCACCATTTAGATAAGTTCCTCAAATCATTTTGTTACACAAACTCTGGTGTAACAATTTGTGATTCAAAAATTCCAAGACAAATTGTAGCTAATAGTAGTTCCATTGTAATGAGTTTCAGCACTTCATCTTCAGAATTCTGATATACAGGTGAAACTCGAATAATTAGAATATCATGCAAAAGTAATTGCAGTAAGTGCTGCAAAAGGGGCCCAAACCAAGTACTGAGTACATATGCATGCTTGTACTTTTCAGAGGTCCGATATTGTTCTATGTACAATCCTTGTTTTATTGATTGCATGTAATAATCTACTTTTTTGAGGTTGTGGATTTGGGGTTCTTGGGGTTTTCATGAGCTGTAAGCCATAATCATCACAATTATGACAAATCACGGCTTGAACTATCTTGCTTTGCATGTAATGAGTCTATCTCATATTAGAGTTTCACCTTTTAGGTTGCATTAGTGAAATAAATGAACTTTGCACGATATTCTAATTATTCGAGTTTCACCTGTATACTCGTCAACTGAACAGTGGCCTTGCTAGAGAGTGACATTCAGCAGTGACAACAGATTATAAACCAAAGAACTTCATGTCATAGCCCCAAAACGGGTGTCTGTATTTAACAGAATAGTGTTTTCCTGTCAAGCCAAAAGTGGCTTTAGAATTCAGGTAGTGACCTTGCGGCAGTGTAGCTTGACCTTGTAGAAAGAATCTTGTGAAATAACAACCCCACTTTAGGCTTTTCTATATAGAATGTACAATAGTCAGCTGTAATGGAGGACTCTAACATGACTCCAGTTGTTATATGTTTCTTGCATAAGTACCTCTAGATCATGTTTGGGTAGAAGCACAGCAAAGGAAGAGGTAGGAATGCGAGTACCTGAGGCTGCTAGAGTGTGAATGCTGAAGATGGCTGATGACCTTGCAGTCAACACCTTAAATGATTTTCCAAATGTACATAGCCTCCTTGCCACTCACAAAATGCCTCTCTAAGATTGCAGTTTTCTTGCATAAGGTTCCTAAAAGGGGAGGACCTCAATTCAGCCTCCATATTTACTTAATACTTTTAGGACCCACACTAGAAGTAAATGTGAGCTCTTCAGAGTAGCCTAAAATAGGTATCCAGTATTCCCCAGAGTATTTGTTACACAGTACTTTCGGGTTGCAGTCTTCAGATTTACTCCATTATTAACATTGTTACAATGTGGAAGGGTGAGTTAGGGAGCAAAATGGGACCTGGCACAGGTTCAGGCAAGTGGCGAGAATTCTGATAATCATAGTTAGGTCCTAGCCAAGTTGGTAACTGGAAAGTAAAGCAAAGTACAAATAATGAGAAAATACAGTGAACAAACCAAGATCCAGAGATGAGATGAGACCATTTCTAGGGACAGCAACAGCAATTAGGTACATCAGCATATAACACAAAAGAACAAGACTAAGCAAACACCAAATGTTGTTGGGTAAATGCTTGGGTTATACTTCAACGAGGTCTACGGGTACAAAAGTTTGGAAGTAATGAATAATCAGCAAGGGTCCCCACAGTCCACATATTTATGTGGGGTGGCATCAAGTTTAGCAGCAACCTGTACTAATAGGCTCACATGCTTGTGAATGGATGGGAACGTTTGCACACCCCTTTTTGCACACTGCAGGTAAGCCGGTGAAGCAAACCTGGCTATGTGCATGCAGCCAGGGTCAATTGATTATAGATAAAATTTTTGAAAAGCTTTATATAATATTTTAGCAATTTATTTAGCAAATTACTAGAATTTAGGTGTCCACTCCTTTCAATTGTAACAGAATGACAAAATGATAGCACTTCTTGCATATGAAGAAAGACCTGTTTGTAACTGCCCAGCCTAATTTACTGGGAACACAATTCCTGTCTCCTTGTTTTAGGCAAATTTATAGAAAGCAACTCCACAGAAAATGAGGATCTTGAGAATACAGCTGGAGAATGGCATTTAGCTGTCTGACAATCATTCTTCGTTTCAGAGAGCAAATCTTTGACCATTTTTCTAAATCCATGGCCCATTTGCAGAATGTCATAGTTACATCTGCTGGGCACAGATATAATGTTTGTTTGCAGCTGCAATAAGCAGAACAATTGGGATGATTCCATTTTCTGGGCCTATTTATTGTGTTACATGTTCCCACTCATCTATTAGGGCTTTAAATATTGAATCAGCTAAATTTCCTAGTTAAAACATCACCTCATCTTCTCAGTATGGTGGAAAACTCATTCATCAGATGTCTTCATCGCTGCATAATTATCGATAGCATATTAAATGTGCTAAAATAAACAAGCATGAATTTATGCAAATATAAGTAAATACTTTCTCAGATAAGCAACCTGCTGGGTGTAATCATTCTGTAAATATATCTTTACGCTCACTATAAGTTTCTGCACTTTTCACTATAAAAATAGAGTTTTGTCAAGCAGGGTAAACTCTGTGGTAAACATGCCTTCAACATGGAAGCAGGGTATGTGCTAAAAATCCTATACGATTATTTTAACTAAAAATATTTCACTTTTTCCACTTTGAAGCATTTCCTAAACACTGCATCATC